GTATAATATTATAATGTATATGATGTACAAATTATTACAAACAAGTCAATCGGGTTTTATATTATTATTATTATCTTCTGTACCGATTAATATTCCATTTCATATTTTATATACTGCAGATAGACGTAAGCGCGGGCATTAATATTATAATATGCGATGAGTTAAATAACCGTTTTCTGTTGGAAGATCACTCTCTAAAAAAAAAAAAACCGATGGTCATGCAGTGTTATTAGTATGTAACATCGAACTCGATGAATAATAAATATGCACTGCAGAGTCTTATTGACCACGTCCGTGTGCCTAAATTTTATGATATTCGAAAATGTTCTGATCAAATTAGATATCATCAAAAGTTTATTATATTATAATAATATATTTTGCGTTTTCCATTCACCCCGTTCAGAGGTACCTACGACGTTTTTATTATTGTATACCCATCGTATATGATAAGTAGTTTTCATTAATGTTAAATGGTAATTTTTTTAAACACACTGCACTTCACATATACACATCGATTAGAATATAACCCCCCATTCATTATTACGATTATTATTTTATTAGTTTACGACAATCTAAAACATTTCACAATTTATTTTACAACGAGCGTTTATTGTGGGCAGGTACAATAAATAACTACGTACTAACTATGATTTCCGAAGTTTATATAAAGATCTAAAACATTATATTGCACTAAGTGTATAATAAGTGTTATATTTATAATATAATGATATTGTGCAGTGGGTAGGTACCTACGCGTATAATAATTGCTAAATCTCGTTTACTCGAAAATTAATTCATGTGGAAACGTTTTAATTAAAACTGGCTCCAGTATAGATATAATGTAGGTAAGAGCTGCGATGTTTGAAGAAAAAAAATTACGCATTATAATAAATAGAATTATGTACTGCCGGTTGTAATATTCGTTTTAATAAGAAAATAAATAAATAAGCCTAGTTTGTTTTGAAATTTAAGGGGATAATAAGTTTTATAATACTAAACGTGACCTGTAACTGTTATATTACAAAAAAATGCTTTTTTTCACCGGTAAATTCTTAGTACCTACAGTATATTATACTACCTATGAATAATAATTCACTAAAGTTCTTAAAAGTATTATGATTACAACCACCGCCACTACTAATACTACCAGTTACCACCTACCACCTACCACTACTACAACTATAGTCCGTACTAAAGATCCACTGGGCCCCTTGAACCCCAGACACTTAGTGTGCTCCACAAGCTATTTTTTTAAAGGTTTCACATAATTGTATGGGTGTATTGTTTATATAATAACAAATACGACTAGCGAAATAATTCTGGACATTGGGTGAAGAAGGGCCAATCTCACTTTTTGGTGAAATAAAAAGGTAATATAAAATATAAAATTGCCTACATTTACCTACATATTCAAATTGTGTATATTTTCTTGTGCTAGAGGGGCGTCTCTTGATCAGTAAATGTCCGATGAGGCCAATGTCGAGATATGGCCTATTCTAGCACAAGAAAATATAGATGAATTGTATAATGTCAAAGCCTGTATCTCATTTTCCCCAAAAAGTTGGCCCTTCTTGACCAAAGGTCCAGAATTATATTATAATACTATATATTATATTAGACGCGTTTATAAATTATTTAAACAAAGCTACTCTACACCATTATAATGGTCACGAGCACTGCAATATCAAATATTGTTGTCAGCATTAGACACTAATATAACATATTATTGTTACCTCCCACCCGATAGGTCAAAACCACCCGAAATAAATTAATAATTGAATATGTTATTGATTATCGCATATAGGTATACAATTCAATAATTACAAGGTAATGCCACGCGTATATTGTATTGAAATATACACTGTCCACAAAACTCCCACTTTCACTAATTTACAAACTTTAGTACATAATGTAATATAACTCTGTTTTTAACGAATACCAATCAATTTATCGTACATTTATATATTGTCATTCGTGATGCGAACATGTTTCTCTTTTATTTGTGAAATTCCTTTTTGATTGTGTGCGTTAAACAAATATTTTGTAGCAAGAGATTGGCACTTAAAATCAATGGGCCCCCTGGGACCGTGCCCCCCCCGACCACTTCATACCATAATACGCTTCTACCACTCAACAATCTACGACAGACCTTGAGTTTTTAAATGATATCATTATATACTTTCTGTTGTATGCATATTTAACGGTCGAATACTGTTAGCGGTGTTATTACATTAGGTGCGCACAATTCTAGATCAAATATTCAATGATATTAAAATAAAAAAAATTAACATTTATAGAGATCGGATGAAAAAAATGACTATAAAAAAAAAATACGTCGGTAGGTACACTCGAAATTAGTTTAACCCGTTGCTGCAGTGTATATAATAGTATCATCATCTGACATTTTATGAACATCAGAATTATTATTATGTAAATGGAATCAAGTAGTTTATTTATTTTCGTATTTTTTACACGGGCACCTATTTATAAAGTCGATCGTCATAAATTCATAATATGTTATACTGTTATTTACCGAAATTTAAAACATTTTTAATGTTCGCATTTATTACCCGTTTTCGCATGTCCATAAACAATAATAATTATTGTTTAAACGTTAATTAAATCGATTCATTTTCATAATGCGTTTTTTCCCCGCGTTTCCATTCCAATTACCGCGATGAAATCAATAATATTACTCGAATATTTTTTAATCACTCAAAATCCTGGTGTTCAGAAGTAGTGCACACCTATACACCGACCAGTGTTGAGTAAGTTGTGAACTGTATTTTAGATCGACCTAGATGGCCTGACGCGATAACGACACTATTATAACATTGTAATTAAAATTAGTTTCATATTTGAGGAAAATAAGACACGATATTGGCAGCAGCAGCAGTCATGGTGGTCAATGATGAAATCAACGGCGAGACATAATTCGATGATACCTATAAAACGTTTTATTTTAAGATTATTTTTTATCACGGTATTTAATCGATCCTATAAAAAATAAATACAAAATAATAATATATTGTAAAACACGCACAGCAATGAAAATACAATAATAAATACACACGAATAATACCGTAAAATATCATACGAAAAACAATTATTTAAATGTAGGTACCCACCTCTATAAGTAGTGACCGATCACCGACTAAACTAAAAATATTATATCGATCATCGTATTTCTGTGTATACTTAAATCACAATACGAAGCCGATCGAATATAATAACACACAACAACGACGACGACGACGACTGCAGAGTAGGTACCCAACGAGACAAGACAAGTAGAATCGACACGTCAATGGGCGTTTATCTTGTTGCACTATACCTATTATAATAATAATAATATTATTATTGTAGTTTCGTCCGTCCATCGTATTATCATTATAAATAACAATATTATATTGTGTACACCGAACTGCATATAGTATGTCGATTTTCCCTCCGTCGGCGGCGGCGACTGATCCCGTTTTCGAATACCAAAGACCTATTTATTATCATTACCGTGGTCATTACGCCGCCGAGCGAAGGCTCTGATGTATTTCTCGTCTCTCGAAAATCGTCGATAATCTCGTTTTTACGCCTAACCGTCCTGCATCCTATATGTATATAATATACACACACACGTACGTGTATTATAATATTATGTGTGTGTGTGTGTGTGTGCTCGCCAACCTGCCATGCAGACAAATCCAGTTTTACTCATCGGACGTATGCGTAGGTATAGCATTATATAGGTACACAGGTCGTCGTCGCTGCGCGCCCGTCATGTGCGTAGACGACTTGCACAGCAGCAGCAGCAGCAACAGGTGTTCGACTTCTTTCCTCGCGTCGTAATATCGTTATGTATATATTATTATTATTATTATATACATATTATCGTGTATGTAGTGTGTGCACTCCTCGACCACAACCCGCGTAGTGGTTACGTTGTACCTATATATATATATTATTATATCGCGGTCGCCGACCGGTTCGATCCCGCGACGTGCCAGCCACCAGACGACGGCCGCTACTCCATATTATTATTGATATTATTAAAAATTCAGCGCTGAGATTAGACAACTGAAATTTCGTTTGGATATAACCATCCGGACGAAGATGAATAAACCTTACGTTTTTATCGTCTGGATAACATGTTGTTCTAAAGATAATCTCATTTTTATATCTAGACAATAAAGTGTTATGGCAGATAGAACCGACTCTCTTATTAGAATTAAAATATATTACATCAATTCAATAAGCTATGAAAATTAAATTCTCAAATATTTGGACGGCCCAGAAGTTTTGAGCTTTTGCAATAAACATTTTCGAGATTATTTCAATTTTGGGTTATACATATATTTAATCTTATATTAAATTGACCGTTCTGGAAATCCTAACAAGACATCATAATGTAAAATTCCTAAAATAATTCGAAATTGACAAAAAATTAATAACCCATCAATGTCAGTAGTAACTCGAGTTGACTTTTAAAAACTGCTAATTTTAAAATTACGAAGAAATTGCAAAACTCGAATTTCCCGAAATCGTGATTTATAACAGATTTTAACATTAATTTTCCCGAGATTTTTCTTCGACACTTGTTTATTTGTCAAGTAGTATACAAAATTCCAGAAATGTCAAAAGTCTCAAAAGCACTACTACCGGACTACATAATGACATTCCCTCAATAATAATAAATATTGTTGTCTAGATAAAATATAATATAATATATGAGTAATTTTTAAGATAAGTCCAAACACTGCATATAGTATAATATTTTTAATATAAATTGTACCACGGTAATAATATCACCGCATGATACCAATAACCATGAATGTATCATACCCGATGTTAAGTGCTCGTGCGGGACGGCCTCTTATAATATGTTTATCGTTGTTGTTGTTGTTGTTATTATTATTATTATTATTATTTACTATTATTGTTTCTGCTGTTGTCTTTGTTGCTGTTATATATGATTATCGTGTTTATTGTTTTGATCGTCACACCAGGCGAATACAACTTGAAACTGAATCCCGTGACTCTGGACGACGACGGCGTGTACCAGTGCCAGGTGGGCACGGGAAAGCGAGGCGATCCTGCCATCAGGTCGAGGAAAGCGACGCTGACCGTCCTGGTGCCGCCGAACCGTCCGCGGATCACGCCGCAGGGCGATACGATCTACCTCACGGAAAACTCGCCCATCGACCTGGAGTGCATATCCGAGGGCGGAAAACCCCACGCAGAGGTGAGTGATTTGACTTTATATATTCCGATGTTTAGGTTTTATTCGTTTTAATATTCGCCACTAGCTGGGTTGCCGGCATCGATACCTATGTATTGTATACAATAGCGTATTGTTATACGACGACATTACGAGGCGCCCCGACCCATTCGTGGGTGCAATCGTGGGCTCGGGTGGTCTTCCAAGTTTTATCCGTAGCCCGCCGGTTTTTATTTTAGTCTAACCATCAGGTTGCAGTGTACTGCTAGCTAGTAATTCTAGCCCCCCCCTCCCTGGAAGTTTTCTAGCTGCGACACCGTAATGACGATATTATGATACTCTGGACGCATGCAGTAGGCGAATTTTCAATTTAATTGTGGAGCGGATTTTTTTCAGGGGCTTGATGTAGGCAATTTTGATATTTCAATTTTAAATTGCAGTACATGAGTATCACATACCATATAATCTGTGGTCAGAGTGTAATTATTATAATATATTATTCAGAATATTGTAAACTAATGAAATGTGATGACGCAGACTTGTGCAGCTAGATTCTAAAGCTACCTAATATGGATAATAATTTACAGAAAATGACACATTTGAATATTATTATTTTATTTTATAATTTCGGTTACACAATAAATCATCTTATTCAAAACTTTTTTCGTTGAGCTTTGTATAAGAAAAAAAAATGACCTCCGAAACAATATTATTAAATTTAGATTCTTTAAACCCCGCCACTATATATTATTGTGGTCCGCCTGTCGACTGTGCTTTTACAATAAATAATATAAAAATGGACTTAAATATGCACTCGTAAAATTTTGTGCATTTTACCAACGTTATAATAACATACACACTCAAAAGTATTAGACCGGATTTTTTGCGTAGAAAATTCGCACTGGGAACCAATAATACCTATCCTCGATCTTTCTATATATATACATAGGTAAGCAATGGAACCGATATATTATTCGGTTGCAGTCGATATATTTTTATTACCGAATCGTAATAATATATTATAATATTATTATTATTGTGAGCCACACCGTATATTTTGTTCCGCCGACCCGGACGTGGTGGCGTACTATGATAATGACATTTTCACGATCGTATTCAATTATTAATATTATTATTATTATTTATGGCGTATGTAATAGTGCGATATCGTGTATAAAGCATAAGTCGGACAGATCAATCGAGTCGATGTAATTCTCATAAATTGATCTATATATATTGGACGGGTGAGTGGGTGAGACTATGTACAATATTAATATGCATCACACGATAATATACGATATTATTGACTTATATTATTCTATATAGGTATTATGTTATGATTATTATTATTTATGACTGCTCTCGATATATTATATTTTCGTCACGCGCGTCGTCCGAGGTCCGACAGAGTTTTTTAAACATTCCCACCACTCGAGAGTCCAGACAATAATATTATCCATTGTTGTTTTATTACAATATATTTAATTCGATTGTAAAACATTAGCGTTTTGACGTCGCTACGAGTTCGCTTAATTTAACATACAGGGTGATTGAAAGACTATATATTTTGTAAATACTCTGGTTTAATGAGCAATATTGAAGTAGGCACTATCCTCGTTGACATTAACAAATTTAAATAATTGATATCCCAATAACAAATTGATTAGGTGTAGTATATAAAGTAGCTAATATTCATTTTTAAAAAAACAAAGTAATTTGTTCCCAGTGTTGGGAATTATCTAGATAAAATTATTTCTTTAATTATCTTATCTAGATAAAAATAATTAAATCATCTAATTATCTCATCTAGATAAATGTAATGGTTATCTGTGGTAATTCATCTTGATAAATAATATAATAATAAGAATATTTTTAAATACTGAAATATCCAATAATTCATGAGAACCGAGTAGTGATTCCAAATTCCAATATTATTATAGTTAAAAAAAGAAATGTTTACTGAAATATAGTCAGTTTTGTTTTTTTATTTTATTTTTATTCAAGTTGTATTAAAAATTAAAATTGTATAATATTTTAATTGAGAAATGACATTAACGATTTAATAATTACTAATAAATTACATTATTAATTATAATATAATTTAAAAACAAATTATTTTTTTTTTTTATCTAGATAAATGTATGTGTATTTTTATCTTTATCTAGATAAATTTTGAATGAATTATCTGTTATCTCATCGAGATGATTTTTTTTGGTTATCTTTTCCCGACACTGCTCTTAACGTATGGCGGCTATAGATGGCATAAAATATATTTTAATAATCGGACGGTCGTCCCTAAATATTCACAAAACGTCACAAAATAAGAATACCCACACCTGATATCATAATATTATAATCGTACAGTATATAAATTATTATAAATCGGATAAAAACGAACGGTGTGCAACGGACGGTGAAACACACTGTATATAATACGGCCGTATACAGGATAATCATGAGTACACAGAACAGGTGTGTGTGTGTGATCTCGTCGATCGACATCGGTATATACAAATATATTTATAGGTATAGGTATATCGTAATAATACATAATGTTTCGTGTGCACATATTTTGACTCTCTCGTGTATTTTATTATTGATATTATTTTCTCCGAGCGCGTGTAAGGCAGACACAACGACCTAATTTATATCTCATTCGATCGTACACGCGTATGTACACACAATATAATATATATACACAAGTCCATCCGTCATTAATAAAAGTGGGCTGTCAAGAACGATAGAATTTTCGGAATTATATACCTCCCGCCGATGATTACACATGGCAAAGTTACAAGTGGGAGGTTCTGTACGACTGTATATTATATATACATCTCGTGTGTTTGATAGTGAGAAAATTACCGACTTGCTGCAGCTGCAGGTCTCTCGGCGGCTCCGGTGCAAACCCCCACGGGAATCGATGGCATATCTCATTCATGTGTACTGATGCAATAATAATATTATTATTATTATATTGTGTTTTATTTCCAGTGAGTAGGTACCTGTATAGTATAATAATGTTATATAGATATTGTATTTAACATATTGTACGAGGTGATTATTTTAACGGTAAACAATCGTTTTCTCGGAAAGTATATAGGTATTAACGTTTATGTTAATATATATTTTATTTTAGTTTTTACGCGATTTGAGGTCTATAAAAAAATCACATTTTTTTACAAAAAAAAACATAATTTTTTTGATCACCTACCTATAGTCGAATAGTTCGTCGAAATAATAGTTACTATTACTATAGTTGGGTACCAACTACCCACTCATTCTAAATTCGTATTAAAACTGCCAGAAATATATTATTATTATTTTTATGATAGATATATTATGTTGTCGTTTATGAAACGATTTGGAAATGTTGTTTAACAATATGACCTCAATAGGTATTATGCAGATTAAAAAAATATTTACAAAAACATTCATAGGTACTTTTCGAGATAACACGAATGTTTGACTTTAAAACAATAATCACTCTGTATAATATATGTGTGTTATTAAACTCGTATCTCCCTACACAATGTCAGTTGCCTGTGTATGGCATTCTGGGGGGGGGGGGATTTGGTGCGATTTTCGTATTGATATATGGACTACGGTCCCCAACTAGACGGTTCTCGTTAATCCTCACCTTCTCGAATCTTTCGAATAATAATTGTTTAACAGTTTACTTTCATTTAAACATAATAATAACAATGATTAAGACGAGCGTGACTGTATATACAATGCAATTACGTTTGATATTATTATAGAACCACGGAAAAATTTTTCGTTACTTGAAATTAATTTTGAGTACGCAATTTAATAATAATAATATTATGTACTACGATCAGGGACCTATTGAATTTATCGGTATCGGTTCCGGTACTGGTTCTCCAAAAATAAAATAACTGTTTTGGGAAAAAAAATAAAGGTATCGGTTCCACACAATTTAGGTACCGAAAATATTTTAAATACTTGAGGGTTTAATTAAAAGTGTGAGGAATATTAGAGAACTCATAATATGATACATAGCTTATTCAAAAATCAGTTAGACCATTAAATTATGATACACATAATAATTTTATTTTTGAACCTAAAAGAACCTATTTGATTTAAAAATTCCAGTTCGGTTCCGGTACTATTTATTCATTAAAATAAAGGTTTCGGTTCCGGTGCAGGTTTTTAATATTTCAAAGGTTCCGGTTCCAGAACAGGTTCTTTTTGGTTCGGTTCCAGTCCCTGAGTCGTGGCTGAAGGAACAGTTTCCGACCCAAAATGTCGACTTTATTGTTGATTTTTTCCTATTGTTGTCATCGCGGTTTCGGAATGAATCATCACCCACGCTCGTAATAGTACTCGCGGCATCATACTCCGATTTTGGATGTGTGTGTGTGGGGGGGGGGTATTTATCAAGAATGTAATAATTTTTACTCGTGTATTTGGATTTGGAAATGACTTTTTCAAACTCGTATGATATAGTGGTAGGTCGTATAGGTGTGGAGTTAAGCAAATAAGAGAGTGGCTGGTGCATCGCGTATTTTGCAATGGAGCGGGTTTAACGGTTGAAAAAAAAATTGATTCGCTTATACCGGAGTGAGATGTGTACATAAAAAAAAGGGTAAAAAATGGAAGCGTGAGAAAACGTCGTTTGTCGCTTGTAAGTCTACACACTCACACACACACACACAGCATATTGAATTTATTTATTCGACGGCGCCGCGACTGAGTATATTATACCCGTTTCTGTATGTATAATGACGTAATGTTTGTTGGCAGTCCTTTTTATTTTAAATCGCAATGTATACGGAGTCGCACAGAGTTGACAACGAAACCGTATATTAATATTATGTATAAAAAATAAAATAATACTAATAATAATAACGCAGAGACTGCTACAGCCGTATTATTATTATCATACCGAGACTGAGCATAATGTTGTTATTATAATATTATAAAGTCGTCTGTCGCGCGTGCTATAATGGGCCAGTATATATATATACATAAGAAAAGTATCTTATTGGCAACATTAATATTGT